ACATTTTTAAAAAAGACAATTGGGACCTCCGGGACGGTTTCACATTAAAAAAAAAAACAGTTGGGATCTCGAGAAGGTTTCACATTCTTAAAAAAAAAAACAATTGGGACCCCTGAGAAGGTTTCACATTCTTAAAAAAAGACAGTTCCGACTCCCGAGAAGATTTCACATTGTTAAAAAGATACATTTGGGACTTCCGAGAAGATTTCACATTGTTAAAATGATATATTTGGGACCCCCGAGAAGGTTTTACATTTTTAAAAAAGACAAATAGGGCCTCCGAGAAGGTTTTACATTTTTAAAAAAGACAGTTGGGACCCCCGAGAAGGTTTTACATTAAGAAAAAAATACATTTGAGAGGCAAATCGCAAAATAAAATTTTATAATATTATAAATTAGCAGAAAAACGTTTTCTTCAATTAAAATAAGTTCAAGGTAATCTTTTATCCAGGAATTTATTAGAGTTTATTAGTTTTTTTTTGTGGCGATGGGTATGGGTGGGGCTTATTTTTTGACTTTATTTTTTACTTAATATTCATATTCTTTGAACAATACGATACTCAAACACATGTTTTACATGACCACCCTCTTGGCTCAGGATGAATAAAGAAAGTCATCACAATATGGAATTCGTAATTACGCTCCGCCCCTCAGTTTGACAACGAATGGAAAAATTCATCACGATTGAGAAATGCGATATAATTAATAAATAAATATAAACCCCGCCCACCCACCCGATCTCAATTGTAATGATTTTTTTTTATTCCAAGACACTTAATCACGTTTAAAATGATAAATTTGTGTAGGAAAGTATGGATTTTACATTTAGGCAATTACTACATATTTGCACCAGGGCGGGTATGGGCGGGGCTTAATCTTCGGCTTTAATTTTTTCTTAATATACATAGGTACACGATACAACATAGACATGTTTTACATGGTAATTTGTTGTAGAGAAATAAGGATTTTAAGTTCTACCCTCTTGACTCACGATGAATAAAGAAAGTCTCACAATTGAGATGGGGTGGGTGGGCGGGGCTAATATTTTGCCTTTTTTTCTTAATATTCGAAGTCTTCTTTTCGCAACAAGAAACTTAAACCGTGTTTAAAATAGGAAATATGGAATTCGTAATTAGGATCCGCCCCTCAGCCTGACAACGAGTGGAAAATTCATCACGATTGAGAATTGAGATATAATAAATAAATAAATATAAACCCCACCCACCCAATCTCAATTGTAATGATTTTTTTTTATTCCAAGACACTTAAACACGTTTAAAATGGCAAATTTTTGTAGGAAAATATGGATTTTGCATTTAGGCAATTACTACATATTTACACCAGGGCGGGTATGGGCGGGGTTAATCTCCGGCTTTAATTTTTTCTTAATATACGTAGGTACACTATACAACACAAACATGTTTTACATGATAATTTGTTGTAGAGAAATAGGGATTTTAAGCTTCACCCTCTTGGTTGACGATGAATAACGAATATCATCACAATTGAGATGGGGTGGGTGGGCGGGGCTTATATTTTTCTTTTTTTTTCTTAATATTCGAAGTCTTCTTTTCGCAACAAGAAACTTAAAACGTGTTTAAAATAGGTAATATGGAATTTGTAATTAGGATCCGCCCCTCAGCCTGACAACGAGTGGAAAATTCATTACGATTGAGAATTGAGATATAATAAATAAATAAATATAAACCCCGCCCACCCACCCAATCTCAATTGTAATATTTTTTTTTATTCCTAGATATTTAACCACGTTTAAAATGGCCAATTTTTGTAAGAAAGTTTGGATTTTGTAATTAGGCTATTGTTACATGTTTAGACCAGGGCGGGTATGGGCGGGGCTTATTCTTCGGCTTTAATTTTTTCTTAATATACATAGGTACACGATACAAGACAAACATGTTTCACATGATAATTTGTTGTAGAGAAATATGGATTTTAAGCTCCACCCTCTTGACTCACAATGAATAAAGAAAGTCATCACAATTGAGATGGGGTGGGTGGGTGGGGCTTATATTTTGCCTGATTTTCTTAAAATTCGTAGTTTTTTTTTCGCAACAAGTAACTTAAATCGTGCTTAAAACAGGAAATATGGAATTCGTAATTAGGATTCGCCCCTCAGCCTGACAACGAGTGGAAAATTCATCACGATTGAGAATTGAGATATAATTAATAAATAAATATAAACCCCGCCCACCCACCCAATCTCAATTGTAATGATTTTTTTATTCCAAGACACTAAACACGTTTAGAATGATATTATCATTTGTAAGAAAATTTGGATTTTGCAATTAAGCTCCGCCCCTCTTGACTAACGACGAACAAAGAAAAAGCGTCAGAACTGAGATAGGGTGGGTGGGTGGGGCTTATGTTTTGCATTTTTTTCTTCTTATTGTATATATTATTTTTTCGCCATAAAAAGAAACTGAAAACATGTTTAAAATGGTAAATTTTATCCCTTACACTTTTCCACAAATTTACCCTTGTAAACTTTCTTGTCGTAAAAAGACAAGTATTAAGGAAAAAAAAAAGGCAAAATACAAGCCCCGAAGGGGGGAGTTTGTTGCAAAATGCTTATTTCTCTAGAAGAAACTATCATCTGAAACATGTTTTTAAAGTACATGTTGTTGAAAGGAAACTGTATATGTTAAGGAAAAAAATTCAAAAAATAATCGAATAACACGTTGTGGGGTACAGATCAAGAAATAAAGTTCAAAGAAATCTATAAATTTGCGGAGACAATGAAGCAAGTGAAAAGAAAGGTATTTTCGTGTTCACTTTTGTGCTCATAAATAAAAGGTAAATCTCGCCTACGGCTCGGTCGTAAACACCGTCTCTAACCTCAAGCGATCGTAAAAAATGAACGCAACACGTAAAAAGTGCAAGTACTTTAAAAAGCCACTTTTACAGTCGGACGTTGAAAAAATTGCGAGCCGCAGGCGAGCGTTAAAAAATATCACAAATATGCACATTGTTTCTTACCACCATAGTGTGAGTCGCAGGTGAGGGTACATCATTTGTTTTACTTAAATATATCAGACAGCGCACCTGCGGGTTGGTTTTAATGCTTGTACGAGCGTTTAAAACTTTGCCGGTTGTTTTTTCTCATGTGACGGTAAACCTCGCCTGCGGCTCGGTGTGTAACGTTTACGTCAATAAATTGGCGAAAGCTTTCCCAAGGCGTTAGATTTGAGATTCGTTCTGTCAAATTAAACACGTTCGTGATGACATTTTTCTAACCGGACTGTTAAATTGATGGTAACATTGGCGACAGATTTTATAATAATTTTTTTATGAGCAAACTAATCGTGGTAACAGGATAGACTTTAAAAAATAATTCCGGCTGTCCATCTTCCAGCGTCTATTAATAAGTCCACGTCGTTTTTAAAATTTCAGATTTTTGTTTATAAATAGAGAGATAAATTTAGCTTTACTTTGGATAATAAGTACAATTTTGCCTCGTGTAATGAGAGTTTTTTAAAAGTCTAGTCAGTCTAGGCATTTTGCCAATTTTTGTGTCATTTTGACGACGATGTCTCACGCCGTTGCACTCCATTCTCTCAATTACGAGAGAGCAACTTATTAATTCTTGTTTGTTTCGCTAATTACAAGAACTGAAACCTTTCAATGACTCCTTCAAACCTCATTAGCATTTTTCGACGCAAGTGAAAATAATAACAAAAAAAACCCGAACGCGAATTAAATTCCGGCTTAATCCTCAAACGACTTTTCGATTGAAGCCGCTTTTGAAAAAAATTTCAGAAATGTATATTTAAATTTGTCAACATAATGCTCGCTTTGCGTGCGCACACAAATCTACATTAAACAAGACGTTCATTCCAATTTGTACCCCGTTGTAAAACAAACATCAGCCCTAATTATAGACACACCTCAAAAAGCCTCAAGGAGGGGTTGTGCATGTTGACTAAGGATCCAATTTGTCTGGTCGACATTGCGCGAGTTCCATTAATATGTAAAGACGTCTCAAAAACATCAAAAGAGCACAGCGTAATCAAGTCGATGTAATGAAATAATTACATCCTGTCCTAATGTGCGTCAAACGAAGGCACACGTCGTGACGTCTTTCAGGATCATGAATAATAAGGCGCTCCATCAAGACAAGGATTTCAGGGTGTAATCGAGCCTTAAGCTGAAAACCTAGCCAGGCGTGACCGGGTCGCCTCGCTCGACCCTGCAATTACACGAGAATCAAACGTCACTTATCTCTATTACGTTGGCAAGGCGGAAATTTCGTCCGCGGGAAGGAAAAGCGTCCGACTGTACAGATTTTGAAAAATAAAACTGTCTTCGTGCGAGGCCGTCTCCATTACATTTTTATAGCCGCGTAAAACGAGTTTGACCCTTAATTGCGTTTTGGAGGTCGTTGAATTATTTTTTACACGCATGTTTTCCTCGAAACCGATCGAAGCCTTCGTGCCACAAACGCCTCGTCATTAGCCAACCCCGCAATAATATCACGGTGTCACTTATTAAGTCGCCAATAAAAATGTGAAATATTCGGTTGGAAAAATGTGGCCCGCATTACACAGAAGCAACGTATAAATATCAACGACACCCGCATGACCTCGATCGAAGCACCGTCCCACTTTGCCAGTGACGCTAACGATCGTCCGTTCCACCGGACTACCACAATACAAACACTCAACGCGTTGTTCGGTGGGCAACGTCCTCCGAAAACGCCGAAAACAGAGGACCGTGTATTACTATAGACGATTTTGCGCAAAAATTAAGAGGCTACACTAAAAGGAGCCGGGGACGTGCTAGGGGATTTTACAATTTTTAGTTATTTACCTAAAAGTCAAGTGACTATACTGCAAATATTGAAGAGTTTGACGTTTTGGTACTTTTGATGTTCATCTCGAACTCGAAATATCTTCAGTATGAAAACTTACCATAAATCATTAGTTCATTATTTGCTAACAATTAAGGTTTTAAATTTTAGAAATAACAAGCTGGTGCTCATATTCTATTCGTAAATAAAAACTTTATTTTACTCATTTAATTTAGAAGACTAAATATATTAACAGAATCATAAACAAATTACTAAATTACATTTTATACGAAATCTATAATAATTTGAACGACAAATTTAATGTTAAACAATATCTCTTAACATAATTTCTTCTTTTCACCATTTGTCAATATTTTCTCCATTTCTTCATTTATGAATCACTTCTGTTCGCCTGCATTCCTAAAAGGATATATTCAATTTTGAAAAAAGTGCTTTATGCTTTTTTACGTTTTTTTGTAGGGAAGTACTCCTGCTTTTCCATTTTTCGCTTAGTGGTTGTTGTGTTACTTTTTTCATCTGCTTTTCTCATAATCCCTTGTATGTCCTTCCAAAAACTGACAAAAGTTTCATCGTTTAAGTTGTGTATCCAGTTTGTTAAATGTTTTTCTGTAACTATTCTCCAATTTGGTTCAGTCACTTCATCCACTTCCTCTTGCGTCATTTTTTCTTTTAAAAATTGGGAAATTTCTTCTTGATGATGGATCCTAATTTGCGAGTTTTGTCCCAGAACTTCAGCAGCTTCATCTAGAACAGAATTAGTACCCTTCCGCTCCTCATACATACATACCAAGTGCACATGCTTACACATGGAATTTTTTATCATGTATTCTGGGCAATCACACTGATATCGATGGATACATATTTTGCACACTCTGCAAAATAATGTTTTACATTCACTCTCACATATTTGTTTTAAATTAACATTATAGAAATTGTCATTTTTTGAAGACTTAACTTGGAATCCTCCTAGCTGTTTTTCAGTTACTTCTATTTTGTTTTTTATTCTGTGAGCTTCCTTGTGTGCTTTAATGATAATTCTGTCCTGGTAATTGTTAGCGTTAGGCCTTTCAATACTGAAAATCCTCTGCCACATTTTTATCTCCACCAAGTCTTCAATTGTGTCTAGTAATTTTTCTGTTGTTACTCTTGTTCTACTTTTTAACTGATTAGTCTTCAATAAATTATTAAGACTCTCTATAGCCATATTGGTATTGATTCCAGCATTTTTTCTATAGCAATGGGCCCACATTCGAATCCTGTCTTCATCCTGAAAATAATACCTAAAACAAAGTATGTTTTGGTCAATATAAAACTATTATTATTTATAATATTATGATAATTACTTATATTTACAAAACTAAAGGTACCTTAAAAGATAATTTGCAAAATCCAGCTCATTTGCTTCTTGCAGCTTGTTCAGATATGCATCCTTCAATTCAATAAATTTTTTCTCATTAGTCTCATTTAAAATTCTTTTCATTTCTTGCTTCATTTGTTTTCTCATTGTAACATCATGGATTTTTTTTCCTTGGATATTCCAGTTCTTTACAATGTGCCATGAACACAAAAGTCTTTGTGGTTTGTTTGTCATCACTTTAATCCATGCATTGTAATACTTGGGATCGTCATCACTCATAAAATATTCAGGTTTAATATCCTGCTGCATTTTTATCCTAAGAGCACCTAAAAACACTTCTTGTACTTGTTGGTCTAAACGATTTGATAAAAAGAAAGCAACTGGGAATCCTGCATTTCTATCATCTTTAATCAGCATAATTGTTAAGTCCAGTCCTTTTTTGTTTGTCCCATGTGTACCATCCATGCAAACAATCGTCGTGAAATTTCGAAGTTTGTCTTCCATTGCAGAGTTCATAAAGGCTAAAGCAAAATCTTCTTTCTTGAGAATATCATGAGTCTCTCCTATGATAAAACCATCACCAACATAAATAATACCACCACCACCACCACCAAGAATAGAGAAATAGTTACTTCCCAACAAAGCGAAAAAATATCATTTTTGTACAAAAATATATTATTAAACAGTACAATAAATGTTGGACAACATAACATGCATCATGTGAATAATAAAAAAATTGGTCGAAGGTTATTTTGACAGAACTTCCCTCGCTTCAGAAGGGTAAATAACACGCCCTCAATCCCTGCGCCTCGAGGATGTAAATTCCAAGCGGGCACGGTCTGAACAAATGCGGACAATATGAAATATATTTAAAGCAAATAATCAGTTGGAAACAATGTGTTCTTAATTCCTAGTACTTGTTTAACTTTAACAGTGTTGTTTATGTTTATGCTATGAACGAATTTGACCATTAGCACGTCATATCATATCAGCGCCGGCATTGAAGTACGTAACGGTGGCATTAAATGCATGCATATGTATTAAAAGAAACTGATATTTGATTGATTTTGTCTCTTCAACACAGAAGAGAGGACCAATTAATTAAGTAAACATTTTTTTTTCAGTCACCGGGTATAAGGTAATGTAAAACAGTAATGTAAGTGCTAAATTACAAATGTAGACTGTTTTTGAGCATTTTAGGTAGGATATATTCAGCAAAATTTTGAGCTGATATCATCAATTTTTTGGAGGGGATAGGCAAATATACTTTGATTAAAAAGTTATCATGCTTATCATAACTTTAACACATCTGCAAGATTTCAAAGGATTCGGTTTTCCAGATTCAAAATTAAATTGCAAAATGTTGTTACATAATTTTGATTTTTTTTTTTCAAAAATCTGGACGTTTCGAGTAAAAAAAACAACACGGAATCATAAACTACATGTATAGGACTATGTTATTTTAAACAATTTAAAACGCATTTACTATGTACAATTTTGAAGTGACGTCTTTACAATATTGGTGGGGATGATTAGACAAATTTTGGTTAGCGTTTTACTATCTACATGATACTCCTAATATAAATAGAAAATTTGAAAACAAGCGGCAAAGTACTTTCGGAGATTATCTGTTTAATAAAAATCCGTAACACCAGACAGACAGACGGTCAGAGACAGAAAAGGTAGACCTATTTCTTCGTACTCATGAAAAATGTTTAATCAAAATATATTTACTTATCCCCTCGAAAAAAATTGATGACGTCATCTTAAAATTTTGCCAAATAAATTGTACCTAGAATGTGCAAAATATGTATGAAGAGTTTTTACCTGTGATTTATCATTGCATTCATATTTTTTTGATATGGTTATACAGGTGGCTCAAAAAAATTAATGAATGAGTCAAGTTATTTTATTGACTAAATTAGGAACGGTTCACTCCATTTTCCCAGAAAATTTTTGGAACACACTATTATTATTATTAGTATTACACTGCACTGATGTTGATATACATGTCCTTGCAAAAATGTTGATGACGTTTTCACAAAATTGTGTAAAGAAAAAACTCGATTCGAAAATGCTGGATATGTTCCATTGTATTTCAGGAACGAGGGAAGTTCTGTCCAAACAATTTTCGACCAATTTTTTTGTTCACATGATAGAACCTAAGAAATTTTAAACGCTGAGCCGTAAAACCAAAAAATAGTGAAATTGAAATATACATAATATTAACTAAAAAAAGCAACCAAATTATTTAAATTCCATCACCACTATAAAGAAGTATCAAAAAACCTTTTCAATTTTCATGTCGACAATACAATAGACAGAAAGATGATAATCCCTAATTACCTTCCGGTTTGAAGAAAAATGCAAAATTTTTGCCTTCTCTATTCCATTCTCTAACTTTCAAAGCAGCTGCTACCATTTCATTTTTATCTCTTCTTCCTTCAATATTGTGTTTAGTGGATAAATATGCAACGTCTTTTCTATTTAACAAATTTATTCGTTCCAATTTAGGCATTTCTAGTTTTCTTGCATCTTCTAAAATTCTGTCTACTGATACACCAGACTTTAATTTTTCAATCACCATATTCTTCTCTACTGCTGACAAATGCTTACTTCTTAATTCATCTTTTTGATGGCCAACATGAGTTTTCCAATAGTCAACAGTTATCTTTCCATCTAGATAATAATATAATTAAACTTCATTTTTCTAAACTGATTAACAAATTTTACCATTATAAATCTTAACAATTAACTTTGAAGGACACACTCCATGTATTTTTATTGTGCCACCAGCTTTTTCAGTTCTTTTACAGTAGTTGCTTCCATATCCTAAAAACTCAATTCATCATATCTGCAATTACATAGAGAACGCTTATTTTACCCTTGGTATTGCTTCTGTTACACTCATAATTTATAGTTTTGTAACTCTTACATGAGTTTGTTCTATATTTTGCATAATTTGTATCCACTTTTTCGGCATTTCTCCAGTCTTCATATTGTTGTTCGCTACAGAATTCAAACTTTACATGTTCTATACTTACCTTGTGAATTTCTTCAATATGATTCCGTAAATTTTCATAAGTCTTTAAAATGTTTCCTTCTTTACACAATGGGCATAAAACGTGACACCTCCGAGAGTTTTCTATAACAATGCCATGTATTCTTTTGATATGTCGATTTTTTAGCTTGCAATTGGCAAATTTTTTTCCACAGTGTATACACGTTTCTGATGATACTTGATCCGGGTGATCCATGTTGTATTGCTCTAATAAAACTGTCTACTGTCTGTAAGCTTAAATGACCAGTATTTGATAATTATATGTTTGTAAATTACCTGGAGCGTAAAACTACGTGCTATTGCAGTCTAAAGACAGAACAGTCGCAGGTCCCAGCAATCACAGGAAGTCGGAAGATGTGAATATCTCTGCTGCCAGTTACAATCACAGAACACTTGCAATTATAGTATATATAATATGTATAATCACAAAATTATAATATTGTTATCAGAATTTATAATTACTGCGAAGTCGAGATCTGTCATCTGTTAACGTTTCCCGCCTTTTCTTTAGTGACCATCGAATCTCACTAAAATTTTTTGATAAGGAACTAAACTTTTTTAAGTTGCAACACTGCGTCCCATGCTCCTTTTAGTGTTTTCTAAAATTAAGAGCTTGTTTCGGCCTTGCCGAGACAAAGGGAGTCGTTATCACTTATCCGCGCGCCGCATTATCTGATAATAGAGCGCTGACCTAAAAAGTGGCTTGTTTATGTTTGCGAGAAAAATATGGCGAAATTAATTCCAGTGTTTTTCGATGCTGACAAGGAAGCGTTGTCGGTGTTTTCTCGATTTATCGGCTGCATGTTGTTGCAGGGTGTCTTGCATGATGGAAAGCTGACCTGAGTGGAACCCCCGAGACCACCAGATCGTGTTTCCGTAGCCCTTCGCTTTGTGATCTAGTGTTCAATAAGAGGTTGTTCGAGGTTGTGCAACGTCGCCGGGAAAGGTAAGACGCTTTTATTTGCTATCCCACGCGCCCGATGGTAAATAGTTAATTTGTCGAAATTGCCGATGACATCACGTGGAAATTGTTTTCGCCTTGGTCGTCGTTATCTCGTGGTAAAGGGAAGCTCCACCGTGATTTACGTTCGCGTAGGTCCGGCCCAAAGCGATTTATAAGCAAAAGCCCGCTCACCTATCGCCGGCCTCCGAAAGGACGCTTATTTATAGGACATTTAAAAATATGTAGAGTCGAGACAATAAGCGTTGCTCCCGAAAAAAGTGCGCCTGAAAAATTTGGTGTAGTGCTGCTAAGTGGGCCAAGACCAAAGCGATAATAAAAGAAACGAGATAAGCATATTAGCGATGCCGTAAATTGAGTTTACGCGTTCTCGCCATAAAATCTTCGCGATTATGGCTTTTGTGGCGAACTTCAATTATTAGCAAATTTGCGAACGGTTTCGCCAATGCCAAAATTGTTGACGGTGATGATGCAATTGGCAAACATGCTCACATGATTCATTTCATTTGAGCAAAATATAGCATGGAGCTTTTTTTGTCGTACCGATGACCGCTGGTACATGGGTTTGGGGCCAAAACTCCACCATTTCGTCACCACTCACTATACTTGTCATTTAACCTTGATCACGTTTCAATTATTGGAGCCATTAACCTAGACTTTGTTCCGCAATTGTTTATTAAATGATTAAAATCAGATATCGCGACTGCCCATGATAACACTATACATCACCAAAACTTCAACATCAACACGATGAAGCCAGTTGAGTTTGATCCCACACAGTTTTGCATTCGATTTAATCTCGTTTCGCGTATTTTCGTCCCCGTCTGGTAGATCGCAGATAGCGTTAATCTTACATCAAGGTGAGGTGGATTCGGTAATCAGATACAGCGTGGATTGCCAAAATAATTAAGATACGTTGATTGGATGGCTGTTACAACACATAAAGTGTGTTTGTCTGGTAAAGCTATACCTTGGTTCTGGTGGCCCGAAGTCAAGTCAAATAAATTTAGAAAGTTTTATCTTGTAGGAAAATTGTCGTTAATTCGTGTTAGTTTCTGATACTAAGGTTTACTATTCACTGAATTGTAAATTTCGTCGGTCGTGACATAACTTTGGTTTTTTGTTGAAAAGTACTCGAGATAATTGTTGTTTACCTACTTGAAGTCGGTAACGCGGTTTTGTAATGTTTTGTTTGGAAAGATTAAAAAACCCTGAACGCTCGCAAATAAGTGATTTGTGCGTTTTAAAACCGACTGGTTGGAGACAGTTTCGAGATCTAGGTGGTGAGTGGTGCATAGGTGAACAGAGAAAATCGTTGCCTTGTTTTGGTGTTTCCAGACTTTGATAACCCTGGTATCTGCTTTAAGCGCTAATCAGAGTGTAGAGATAATTGATCGCACAGATATTGACTATTTTTGCGCCAAATAAAAATCTACGGAAAATTCTGGGATGTAGATCTCGATGTGCGGAACAAGATTTTTGAAAAATTAGGTTTAAATGACACGATTTTTCAAAATCCAAAAAATTTTCGAATTTCATACTGAAGATTCTGGTAAAATGGCAGGGATGTTCCAGGAAATAAAGCCGAAAATAACTTCTGGAGGTCGAAATCTCGATGTACTGAAATCTTGAGCTTTTGAAAACGTGGTCTAATTCGTGCTGATTCGAAGAATTGTCCCAGAACAAGATTTTTGAAAACTTACATTTATATGACAAAATTTTAAAAAATCCTAAAAATTGGCATATTTCATACTGAAATTTCTAGGTGGTAAGAATTTCTCAGGAAATGAAGGAGAAAATAACTTCTGGAGGTCCAAGTTTACAAAAACTTTTTTTTGATAATTTTCCAAGAGGGTCGAAAAAAGCTCGAAATTTTCCTAAGAAAGCGTATTAAAAAATTGAGCTTTAGAAAAACTTGTCTAAAAATCTGCGAAAAATTCTGGGATGCAGATCTCGACGTGCTTATTAGAAAAATATAGCGTTTTTATTTTATTGTCATCGATCACGATTTTTGAAAACTTGGGTTTGAATAAACAAATTTTTGAAAATCCTAACAATTTCGTACTGAAAATTCTGGTTAAATGGTAGGAATTTTGCAAGAAGTGAAGCCCAAAATAACTTCTGCAGGTCCAAGTGTAAAAAAAATGCTTTCGGTAATTTTCCAAAAAGTTCGAAAAAACTCGAAATTTTCATTTATTGAAATTTTGTGCTTTTGAAAAAGTTCTCAAAAAATCTACGAAAAATTCTGAGATGTAGATCTCGATATGTTGATTCGAAAAATGTAGCGTCTTTACTGTTCTGGAACAAGATTTTTGAAAAATTAGGTTTAAATGACAAAATTTTTAAAAATCCTAAAAATTTGCGTATTTCATACTGAAGATTCCGGTAAAATGGCAGGAATTTTGCAGGAAATAAAGCCGAAAATAAATTCTGGAGGTCCAAGTCTACAAAAAAAAGCTTTGGGTAATTTGGAAAGAGTTCGAAAAAAGCTAGAAATTTTCATGTACTGAAATCTTGAGCTTTTGAAAACGTGATCTAAAAATCCACAAAAAATCCTGGGAAACATTTCGACATGCTGATTCGAGGAATTGTCCCGGAACAAGATTTTTAAAAAATTACATTTCTATGACAAAATTTTTAAAAATCGTAAAAATTGGCATATTTCATACTGAAAATTCTAGAAAAGTGGTAAGAATTTCTCAAGAAATGAAGCCGAAAATAACTTCTGGAGGTCCAAGTCTACAAAAACTTTATATAGATAATTTTCCAAGAGGGCCGAAAAAAGCTCGAAATTTTCCTAAGAAAGAGTATTGAAAAATTGAGCTTTAGAAAAAGTTGTCTAAAAATCTGCGAAAAATTCTGGGATGTAGATCTCCACGTGCTTATTAGAAAAATAAAGCGCATTTATTGTCTTCGAGCAAGATTTTTGAAAAAATCGGTTTGAATGACAAAATTTTAAAAAATCCTAAAAATTTGCACATTTCATACTGAAGATTCTGGTAAAATGGCAGGAATTTTGCAGGAAATAAAGCCGAAAATAACTTCTGGAGGTCCAAGTCTAAAAAAAAAGCTTTGGGTAATTTGGAAAGAGTTCGAGAAAAACTCGAAATTTTCATGTACTGAAATCTTGAGCTTTTGAAAACGTGATCTAAAAATCCACAAAAAATCCTGGGAAACAGATTTCGACGTGCTGATTCGAAGAATTGTCCCGGAACAAGATTTTTGAAAAATTACATTTCTATGACAAAATTTTAAAAAATCCTAAAAATTGGCATATTTCATACTGAAAATTCTAGAAAAGTGGTAAGAATTTCTCAAGAAATGAAGCCGAAAATAACTTCTGGAGGTCCAAGTCTACAAAGACTTTATTTAGATAATTTTTCAAGAGGGCCGAAAAAAGCTCGAAATTTTCCGAAGAAAGAGTATTGAAAAATTGAGTTTTAGAAAAAGTTGTCTATGAATCTGCGAAAAATTCTGGGATGTAGATCTCGACGTGCTTATTAGAAAAATATAGCGTATTTATTGTCTTCGAGCACGATTTTTGAAAAATTAGGTTTGAACAAACACATTTTTGAAAATCCTAACAATTTCGTACTGAAAATTCTGGTTAAATGCTAGGAATTTTCCAAGAAATGAAGCAGAAAGTAACTTCTGTAGGTCCAAGTGTAAAAAAATGCTTTCGGTAATTTTCCAAAAGGTTCGAAAAAACTCGAGATTTTCATTTATTGAAATTTTGAGCTTTTGAAAAAGTTCTCAAAAAATCTACGAAAAATTCTGAGATGTAGATCTCGATGTGTTGATTCGAAAAATGTAGCGTCTTTACTGTTCCAGAACAAGATTTTAAAAAATTAGGTTTAAATGACAAAATTTTTAAAAATCCTAAAAATTTTCACATTTCATATTGAAGATTCTGGTAAAATGTCCGGAATTTTCTAGGAAATAAAGCCGAAAATAACTTCTGGAGGTCCAAGTCTACAAAAAAATGCTTTGGTAATTTTCGAAAAAGTTCGAAAAAAGCTCCAAATTTTGATCTATTCAAATTTTGAGCTTTTGAAAAAGTTGTGTGAAAATCTACGAAAAATTCTGACATGTAGATCTCGATGTGTTGATTCGAAAAATATAGCGTCTTTACTCTTCCGGGGCAAGATTTTTGAAAAATTCGGTTTAAATGACAAAATTTTTAAAAATCCTAAAAATTTTCACATTTCATACTGAAGATTCTGGTAAAATGTCAGGAATTTTCTAGGAAATAAAGCCGAAAATAACTTCTGGAGGTCCAAGTCTACAAAAAAATGGTTTGGTAATTTTCGAAAAAGTTCGAAAAAAGCTCCAAATTTTGATCTATTCAAATTTTGAGCTTTTGAAAAAGTTGTGTGAAAATCTACGAAAAATTCTGGGCTGTAGATCTCTATGTGCTGATTCGAAAAACATAGGGTGTTTAGTGTTCCAGAGCAAGATTTTTTAAAAATTGGGTTTAATTGACAAAATTTTTAAAAATCCTAAAAATTTTCACAGTTCATACTGAAGATTCTGGTAAAATGTCAGGAATTTTCCGAGAAATAGAGCCAAAAATAACTTCTGGAGGTCTAAGTTTACAAAAAAATGCTTTGGGTAATTTTCGAAAGAATATCAAAGAAGCTCGAAATTTTCTTGTATTGAAATTTTAAGCTTTTGAAAAAGTTCTCTAAAAATCTTTCGAAAAATTCTGGGATGTAGATCTCGACCTGCTCATTCGAAAAATATAGGGCATTTATTGTCTTCGAGCAAGATTTTTGAAAAATTAGGTTAAATAAACAAATTTTTGAAAATCCTAACAATGTCCATATTTCACACTGAAAAATCTGGTAAAATGGTAGGTATTTCCCAAGAAATGAAGTCGAGAATAACTTCTGGAGGTTCAGTCTACAAAAAACAAAGTTTTCGGTAATTTTCCAAGACGTTCGGAAAAAGCTCGAAATTTTCCTTTATTGAAATTTGGAGCTTTT